TGAATAGTGACCGTTTGTACAGGTGATTGTCTAAAACAGAAGGCCGTCAGAGCAGGGTCTGGCTATCTATAAAGACAGAAAATCTGACCTAAAAATGTCACTATTATTTATGTAAACAAATTTAGGTGGGTGGGGCGAGAGGGGTGGGGTGGATGTACGATGTAATTTATAATGACGTTGGCATGGGAGAGGTAGAGTCTTAAAGAAAACCAGACAGACAAGCTATCCTGGGCGATTTAAGCAAACTCTGTGCAGTCACTTTTAGTTGTTCTAATAACTTTTACAGCACTTGCAACACAATAAGATTATATAAATGCTGAAGATTATAAGTCTTACAAGAGAGTAAGTTTTTAGTTTTAGTAAGAGTTTTACAGAACTGGCAACACAATAAGGTTAAATAAGAAAGTGCCGAAGAATAGATGAGTTACAATAGAGTAACATACACAAAAAAAAGAAGGAGAGATATATTAAGGGCGATAGAATGTTTTATAGGAAAGAAGGAGCAAATCATACCTGAGCGCCTCCCAACCACCCACCAAGAGAGTAAGAAACACAAAAAAGGAAGAAAGATAAGGACGATACATGATTTAGAAGAAAGAATGAACAAACCACACCAGAGCACCCGCCAACAACCCAGTCTGTACTGTCGATGACAGAGCACGTTGTAGATTATAAACTTAAAAAAGAAACGACAGACTAGAGACAAATAAACTTTTAAAAAATGAGGGAGCAAGTCTTCTGTAGAACAGACATTTTTATTGTATACAATTCATAAATGGTTTTCCTCATGTTTCATAAAATAAAAAAAAACACCTTTGAACTGTTTGTTCATCATCACCATTAGTAGGAGTAAAATTTTAGCCTTGATCTTTGCTTACCAATTATATATCTACTGTCATCAGGAAAGAGTAACATCTTATAGTATCTAATATTTTCCCAACAAGAGTATTCAAGTATTGGGGGCTTAATGAAACATTTAAAATCTAAAGTTTAAATGAAAACCCCCGCACAGACACATTCACACATATACACATGAACACACAGACACGAAACACATACACACACACACACATATAAGCACAGAGGCGGGCACACACAAATGAGACACACACACACACACACACACACAAAGGACCATGACACACCTGTGTTAACAAAGTACATGTACATAGTCCCATTGATACTGGCAGTCTAACATTAATTGTACCAAAGGAGGAATTGAATTACTCACTTTCATAACAATAGTAATAGTCCAATAACAAATTTTGAGCGTAAATGTTTGATCTTAATTATAACAGAATAAAAAAAAGCCTATTTTTTTCAGTAGCTCAGCATTATCTGCATTGAAAAGGAGCTCAGATATAGTACGTGGTGGACTCATTTATTCTGCACAATTATTACCTTAGGAAAGATTACTTGGTTTTTGTATAATTGTACTCTCTTTATTTAGCAAAAAGTTTTTACACACACGACCACATAGTTTTAGCTCTAAATAAAGAATCCGACAAATTAAACGGTCAAACAACAGGGTTTTGGTTAGAATAAAAAGTTATGATCTCTGGATTCTTTTGTGGTAGCAGTTCCTCAAAAATACACCATTTACAATTGATAAATATATTTGAAAATGAAGCTAGTGAAATTCCAGCAAGAGAAATGCATCTTCTTTTCTCAAGCAAAGAATGACAAGTGTGGAAACTACCCGTGCTATACAGTAAGCTCCAAGCATTAGCTTGACAATCATCATGATGCATCCTTCAAAACAATGTTCAGCCGAGCCATGTTCTTTCCTTGCTTCACAGTAAGAGAAATCATTATCAGAAACTTGATCCATGTAGGAGAAATATTTTATAAGAGGGTAGCTTGAACTTAATTTCACCCACAAAGAAAAAAAAACCCTGTTGCAAACTGTCTTCTGCACTTATATTTGCAACAGGTAATGCCCTCCATCCCAACTTTGGTGATCAACGTGACATCAAACCAACATGTAAAATACAGCAATGAAGTAAATCATTTTAAATATATACACAGAAAATATAAAACAAAAGCAATTCAAAATGATGATGTACTGAAAGAATACCTTTATTTGAGGGCGAGGGGAGGGTAAGTCAGAAACAACCATCAATGAAGTTCAACTATTGTCTTCTCAAACCCAATGTCAGTCCAAAGTCTCTTTTAAGTTATGGAACTTGATTGCTGTAATACATATTTTATAATACTTGCATGAGAAAGATTTACTCCACTCCATACCCTTGCTAAAAGAATACAAATGCACTGGTTCAAATACACTGTTGAAATATTATTTATAACAGATCTGAGCATTTCTATTTTAATTAAGAAAAGAAAAGAAAAAGCTAAAATTAAATTAGATTTATTTCACAGACTTTAAGATTAAAAAGAGGTGAGTAAGTATCCTGAAAAAGTTTTGTGTAAAAAGGGTGGTAACAAAAACGGGGCTCGAAAAATATATATCAAAGTAATTTATTGACCCACTCCAGTCAGCCAAAAACACTTTCCTCATCCTAGTCATAATTTTCACAAATTTCAAACAGCTTCAACTTCTTTTAGAACATCCCGGCAGTGTAAGAGTCCGGTTCAAAACGTAATGATTTTTGGTCAAGAGTCTGATATTCTTTTCTGACACATTATAATTACATGATAATATAGTCTTGAAAACAGTATTTGTTCTGAAACCAAAATAATCAATAAAATATTCAGAAACTAACTCTCTGAAACCAGGGGAACTATGACCATCATTGTAAAGTGGGGTTCTAAACGCTAGGCCCACTTTGGACCATTCCATGAAAAGAGAAGCTGCAGTGACACACGTAAAACAAGAATGATGACCCGCTGTAAAAAAAAAAAAAATTATGAAAAAAAATGTCTTTAACAGTGATTGAACCATTCGTTAATTTTTTCTTGTTAGGGGTTACCTGTCTATATAAAATTTTAACTAGTATGGTAACTTACTTTGAATAATTAAATAATTCGACAGGTATACACAGACACTTTGGTAGTATGTACTCTAAAGTTAAAAGTAGTGTCAGTCAGCTGACACACGAAACATGGAATGGCCCCTTTTTCAGATCTTTTACCAGATCAGGACAGGGAAGAAAAACTAGATGGTTTTGTGCCCATATTATCACCATACCGAATTCTGTAAGTAAAATAAACTTTGAACAATGAGTACATCATAGAGAGTCAGTGTGTGTGTCAAAATAGCATTCCTCATTTTTCACATTCTCTGTCGTCATCATAACCTTAAAATAGTGTGAAACAAAATCTAACAACATGAGCAAATCTTATATTTATCGCTTATCAAAGACTTTGTTGGACTTCAGAAAATACATTATTGCTGAGACCAAAATAAACCATCCAAAACTTTTCTGCAACAAAATTTTATCACATAGATTTATTGCCCATGAAAACTGTACCCTACAGATGAAGCAAAAATAACGACATTTTCATTCAACAACAGAAAATCTAAGTGAAGAGTATGTTTGAACTTGTATGACAGTCTCAACTCACAAGAATCTGACCTGAATAGATACTCATCACATCTATTCAGAAAACTTGTCTCCCCTACATAAGACACACAGGAGGCGTGTGCATCGACTCATTGTCCCTTCTCAAAAAGAAAACTAAAATTACAGTTATAATGGCTTTGATATTGATGTACACTTCCGAGTCACAAAGAATGCATGTACTATAATTTGGCCAGGACTACCTCTTTGGAACAGTCTTTTTTTTTAACAAGTCCTCACTAGAGGAAAAAGTGATATTTGAAATGACAGAAACATTTACTTTGAACCATTGTGCATGATATTAACACATTCTCATTTCTTCCCCAAAATTACAATTCTTTTTACATTCTATAACTTTCACTATGATTGCATCAAAATTTTTTGATCAACTCAGAATATGATTTATTGTGTAGGTTTACAACATCCGTGCTCCATAAACTGACTGCAAATTTAACCCTCTTCAAAACCAGTCAGCAGTGCATTTCTTTTATGATTAAATTAATGAATTACAGTCATTTTAGTAACCTGAGAAAATTATACCCACTTCATCAGGAATATAAAAAGAGGCAGTTCCAGTCATGAACAGTGCAGCCTCACGCAGCAAGTCCCTACTCGTCAAAACTCTGAAAACAAATTTTATAATCTTTCCCCTTGTAAGTGGGAGCTTCAGAAGCCATACCGAATACCATGCTGTCATGGAACTGAATACAAAAATTCCCAGATTTGCTTCAAAGATGAAATAATGAGTGAGTTAAAAAAAAAAAATCATTAATCAAAATTCTCTATTTTCCACAAATTCATTCACTCTGTAAAAGCCCACACTTGCTCTGAAAAGTTTGGATACGTGCCAAAATAAACTGGGGTTGTGATACCACTGTAAGTTGTGTCTCTAAGATGTTTGCATACACTTTCAGCGATCCACTTTGCTTGTACTGACATTTTATATTGACATACTTGTTGCAAACAAGGAAAACAATCAGCAGATGATACTTGATTTCTCAAGCTGTTTCACAATATACCCAAACCGATCCTGACAGAAAACATAGTATAGCCAAGAAAAAAAGATCTATCAACTTAATCATGTAAATATCAGTGAGTCTCGTGTCTAAAGTGTCAAGATGTCAACCCCTTGTTAGTGTTATCCACCTTCTCAAGTATAAAATATGTCTTCTCAACCAAACTGACAGTGATGATTAGGGCAATGACAAGAACATAAAATGTACATACATACAAGTATTCATGTTAGGGCAGAGAGGACAGCATTATTTTTGTCTGCAATTTCACTTTTCTCTTGTTTCTCACACCTTTGAATAAGTATGATGAAGAAACTTATCTGGTTTTATTAAATCATTTGTTTCACATTCCATTTGTCTCAGACGTCATCTTTAGTGTTCTCACATGCCTCAAATACTGCACAGATCTTGATCAGTCTCTTTCAGTACAAACATTTGATTCCAAATAGATTATTTGGATGCTATTGCTTCTCTTTCAATATTTGAATTGGCCGATTTGAGTACAAGATAGTATGACAAACAAAAATATAGGACAGGCAAAATTGAAAAAAAAAAAAAAATATCCCAAAGATACCTCAAAACAACATACAATAGCTGGTAAGAAATACAGGCCAACATAAAAACATGGTCCATTTGGCTTCCAGCCCTTTGGGAATACAGCAATGAGATGAAACACAAGTCTCAAGTACAATAATGCTGGTTTGTTAAAGAAATGAATGCAGAGAAACAGAAATTATTGCCCTTCTACTGTGAAGTCTCAGCACAGATGCCACAGAGCACCAGCAGTTATCCCTTTCATCCTCAGATAGTTTCAACTTGAATACACTGACGTGAATTACATCATCTACACACATTAGCACGAGCAGTTTATGTAATCCACATGAAACTTCTTGTAGAAAGGACCGCAAGCTCACAAATTTTTCCTGTAACACACAAGAGAGAGAGGACCGTGTGCTCACAAATTTTTCTCTGACATACAGGAGAGAGATTGTGAGCTCAAAAATTTTCCTTAACACTCAACAGAAAGGACTGCGTGCTCACATATTTTTCTCTAACACATCATGAGAGAGTGGACCATATGTTCACAAAATTTCTTTAAACACATGAGAGAGAAGTTTGGTAAATCCAGAAGAAACATGTTGCAGTTCATGTTTCTCTTCCTGGCTAAGACAATGGGTCCCCGACAACCGTCACAGCTTCATGAATAAAAACACAAAGTTGGATATGTACCTCCACACAGGTTTCCACATTGCAATCGGACTAATATGAATGGACCCAAGCGTGGACACTTACGCTTCAAGCCAACCCATGAGAACAGTATACATTTAATATATATGTACCCATGAAAATGTGGAACAAGTCTATGACATTCCAAAATAAAATGCATGATTGTCACACTGAGTATACAAATGAAGAGTATGAATATGTTTTCTCTGTATTTACTCCTCCCCAGAGCATTGTTAACATCTCAAGTCATCACGTCTTCATGTTTTGCTTGCGCGTGGTTTAACACTAAGGTCCAAAACTTCCGCACCGGTTGGCTCTGGTTCCGAGTGGCCAGCCCCTGAAGGTGCAGATGCGGAAGGAGTTTCGTTCTGCCGTTCAAAGTACCGAGACATTCTCGCCATATCCACCGAAGGAGGCTGCAACATCCCTGGGAATCCGGCAGCCCCCCACATATTTGGGGCGGCCCCAGCAGAGGAGAGCTGGAGAGCTGTGGGCAGGTCGAGGTACTCGTGTTTGGAGGAGGTGGCACTACCACTGGTGCTACTTCGAGACTTGCCACTGCTGCTACCGCTACCCGACGGTTTGCTGGAGTGATGGGATGACAAATGTTTGGCCATGGAGGATGAACCAGAGGAGGAGGATGTTTGCGAAGAGTGGTAGCTGCTGTGATTGTTTAAGTGACTAGTGGAGTTCGGCCTCGATTTCTTCTCCACACTCGGCCCGTCTCTTAAGTAAAGGTCTGATGACGAAAGGCCCGCGTGGGGTTGTGGTCTCTTGTTGGATGAAGAACTGGTGGAGGATGCGAGTGAAGACATGATAGATTTCCCAGACTGACCAGTCGAGATGCTGCCCGTGGACTTAATGCCACTGCTGTGTTGGTTATTGCTTTTGCCGGCCATGATGGCAGCAATGGTGTCCCGACTTTCCCGCTCTCTGGCTGCTGCGGCAACGGCTGCTTGCTGCTGATGATGGTGGAGCTGAAGCTGCTGCAGCTGCTGCATCTGTTGCTGTTGAAGCATCGATGCAGCCTGTGCTGACCACAGTATCGATTGTGCGTTCAGAGCTGCTCGTTGATCTTTGCTGCTTTTGCTTTTCTCAGCGACCGCAGCGGCTTCTAGTAACTCCAGCTGTCTCAGCATCATGGGATCCATGGCCTGTTTTTGGAATTCCATCATCCTCTGCAGGTACAGCGGATTGCTCATCAGAGTCTTCATCATGTACGGATCTTGCATCCCGTAGAGATGTTGATATGTAAAAAGGTTTGCAGCCGCAGCGTTGAGCTCCAAGTGTGCCGCAGCCAGAGCAGCAGATGGAGCCGCAGCTTGGTACATGCTGTTGTTAGCACCTGTGCTGCTATTGCCGCTGCTGCTAGTGGAGCTGGTATTCTTTGAGGAAGAAGAAGAGTAATTTGATTGGCTACTGGGCTGTTTCGACGATTGCCTGGATGATGGCCTTGACGATGGCAAAGCTGCAGCGCTGGAGGCAGAGGGTGGTGCCGGTGTCGAGTTCTTCACACGACTGTGTGCCTGACTAGCATCGACTTTACGAGGTTTTGCATCCAATGGGTTCGGTTTACTGTATGGGTCCGCAATTCCATTTTTCATGACCTCCAGGTTTTCCAGCATACGTTTACCCTTATCCACGTCATCCCTGAAGGCGCTAAAGCTGTGATTGACAGCCTGGACCCGAGCTGCATCCAAGCTAGAACGGATAGCATCCCGTGTGTCTGCGCTGATCTGATGGTGGTAATTCAGGTGGTTGTCTCGGTAGGCTTTGTCACTGGAGCTGGACGACCGCCGCTCGCTGCTGGCTGGAGTCGGGGCCGTGAATAAAGGAGACGATGAAGACGATGATGATGATGGTAAATTCTTTGGGGTAGCAGAGCCTGGGGTGGCGGGTTGTGACGGAGAACTCCGACCTGTTCCCAAGAGAGCGTCCAGAGCACTCTTCTTTGACACTTCCTGAGTTCCTGGTTCAGAACCGCCCGGCGTAGACCCTGCAACTTGCTTCTCCTTGGATGTTCGGAGACTGTCAATGATGTTCGATAGCCGAGATGTTCTCTTCACACTGGGGAAAAGTATAACGACAATGAATTATGAGAGGGATAATTAACTGGAGGGGGTAAAGATATGGGACTGTATGGTTACAAATTATACTACCGTTTAGAAACACTAACAGCAACAGTACTTGTTGGCAGCAACACATACTATTTGGAATGAGGAACACTGCTATTACAATTGTTAAGAACAATATCAGAACACTGTTATATGTTGAGTAGAAAAAAAGGTGAAAAAATCTCCCTACCTTTTCCTACCAATATCTGCAAAATTAAATGTTTTAATATCAACTTTTAATAATTATCACTATAGTACCAAAGATTGGGATGGCAGTCTTCACCCTGATACAGGTATGGCATTTGTGTGCGCTGAAAAAAATCTCTGGTCTTCCAAGGCCTGACAGAAATGCACACCTCACTACCGTAGTTGACTACCTCAGAAGTACAAAGTTCTACCTGACATTTTTAGCTGTTTTGAGTTACCAAAACCTTGAGACCAGAGACCAAATGTTCTATCTGTTCTATCAAAATCATAAGACTATTCTGAGTTGTTATCAATTCAAAAAACTGCATTTGAAAAAGCTTGACATGATATGAAACCTGACATTTATGTCTGATTTCAAATTTCTCAAAAATAGGTACTGAGCTGAGAGAACTTTGTAAGTCTGAGGTAGCGACCTGCTAACTGTACATTTGCCCTGAACAATGCAGACGATCTCCAACAGAATCTCACCACCTGTTCCTGAAGATATGAATAAATTTTCAATTTCCTGGACCTATCTCATTCCTGCATTTTACATTACTTGTACAACTCAGAAAAACTTTTTAAAATGACCCCAAAATACAAAAGCAAAGCTTCATATCATCATATGATGCCTTTTTTCCTTGAAATTCTAAATATTTTTCTCAGAAGACAAGCCATCCCTCCCCCTTAAACTGCTGCCAGAACTGTCTTGGAAAAGGAGCTGGAAGAATTATGTCACCTGAGCTCAAGTTGCCCATTTCTATAGGACCTAGAAATCAGACTTGTCTCCTACATAAAATAAAATAAGATACAATTTGAACAGCAAGAGCATCTTACACCCCGAAAAAAATACAGAATTAAAAAATCTAGGAGCGTCAATCCTTCAATTTAAAAACGAACACTCAAGTCTGTACTGGTTCAAGAGGAAATGAACTGTCTCGTCAAACCATATTTTTCCTGCTTACTAACTCAATCAAGCACACCCATTCACAAGTGTTCAATTTACATAATTATATTCATCCACACTCCTACGCATCAAAACATTGACACTCTTAATCTTCTTAAATGCAAAGCTTGAAAAATTAACCTTTTAGGAGGGGGTGCCTTGTTTTTCAGCTCTTCATTTGAGGGTTGTGTCTTGCTGGCTTCACTGGGCAAAGACGCAGAGCCAGATCGGTTCTGAGTGGGAGACAACTGCCGGCTGCCACTGACGCTGTGGCTGGGTGACGTCCTCATTCTCTGAGGGTTCGGTGACGCCATATGGGGAGGAGCAATCTGGGAGCCCGGCGACATGCGTGACAGCTGACTGCTACCAGGTGACAGGCCTGCCAGACCAAGAGGTGAGAGTTGAGGAACTGCCGCACCTAGGGGGGACATCTGAGGTACCGGAGCGTCGCCAGAGAGAGCCAGAGGAGGGAACGGGGCACGAGCTAGAGCTTGGACGAGACTGGACGCTGGAAGGGGTGTGGTCATAGGGGCGGAGTTATCGTCGTCATATTTGGTCCAAGTTATGAACGGATTTTCACTGTCTTTGATACCATTGGTGCAGCCCTTCGAGACGGAGGTGCTGCTGCTACTGCTGGTGGTTGTGGTGGTGGTGGTGGAGGTGGTTGTAATACTGGTGCTTGATGTGCTCACAACTTTAGAGGGTTCCGAAGGACTGGCAGAGCTGGGGCTGTCACTAGTGGCAGAGTTTGTTTTGGTTACAGATTCACATTTATCTTCCACTGCTGAAGCTGCTGGTTTCGCCGATTCTTCGTCTCCTTCGTCTTTTGAGGCTGGTTCTGCAGCTACGACTGGCTCTGATGGTTTGACTGCTTCTGGCTCGTCTTTCAAGTCCTCAGCTGGTGGCCTATTCTCAGCCTGAGGCTCTACTTTCTCCTCTTGTGGGTCGGACGCCACGGGCGATAGAGGAGCACTCACAACAGCTTGTTCCGAGGGAATGTTTGTCTTGATGTTCAAATTTTGGTCCTTAATGTTTTCATCTTTCAAAGGGGTTTCAATTTCACAACTCTCACTCTGCCCATCATCCTGACTCAACTCTGGCTCAGTTTCATTGACAGTATCCTCAGTTTTATTATTTGAGACCTCTGAAACCGACGAAATTTCATTCTCAGTTTTAGTGTCCTCCTCTTGCTCCTTTTCTTCGGCAATCTCATTCGCTTGTGCTTCAACAGTGGGCATCTCAGCATCTTTGAGATCGGTTTCAGTATCATCATCCTCCATCTTGCTTTCCTCCTCCTCCTCCTCCTCCTCTTCGTCTTCCTCTGCAGCCTGAGACGATACGTCAGCACTTTTTGATGGAAGTTTCAACGGTGAGCGTAGATGTTCTGGTGATTTGCTGAGAGTTGGGGCCAGTATAAATCCGTCGGGGAAATATTTGGTCTCCCGACCATCACGAAGTGGATTTGGTTCTGGCAACTGGTCGGCAGTCTGTTTAACGCTTTCTTTTTCTTTTTCCTTTTCTTCATTCATGACAACATCACTCAACAGTGTCTCATCTTTGAAATCCTTCTTTTCTTCATTGTTGTCACAACTGTTTTCTCTTTCGATGCGACTGACGACTGCTGAAATCTGCTGAAACGGATCAATGTCTTCACTTTCAGAAAAAGCATCCTTATCCAAAAGATCATCTTTAAATGAATCATTGCATGGTAAAGGTGTTTCTATCTTTTGGAAGTCACTCTGGTTTTGGCCATCATGGTTAGCCTGATGGTGAACACTCTGGTAATCCATTGGGTTACACTGCTCCTTTGCATGAATGCTGTCAGAACGCTCTAGCGTGTTCCACTCCAGATGGTTCGAAACAGCCACATTAATATCCGTTTTAATTTTGAATTCCGAAGTCCCTGTAGGTCCATTGAGAGACTGATTGGTTAATCCATTTCCTTTAGGGGCTTCATTTTTGGGTAAAGTATCACCACACTTATCCACAGCAGAGTTATTTATCTCCATCGTCACTTCTTTCTCTCCCTCTTCCACATCTGTGTCGGAATCAGAAGAGTTACTGTCCACAATGTCCCGAGAGGACGTAGTTGTGACTTTAGCTGATGGTTTTCCAACATTTGATATTGTCAGTTTAATGGGGGTGCGAGCTTTTGGGGGCTCTGAACACGGTATCTCTTTCTGTCCATCAGTGCTCAGCTTAGATTCCTTCTTCTCCTCCTCCTCCTCATCAGAATCATCATCAGAGGAAGAAGAATCATCCGACGAAGAACTTCCTCCAGAAGACGAAGACGAGTCTGAGGACGAATCTACCTTCTTCGAGGGAACGTCTTTGAACAAGGGAGAATCGAGATTGGGAATTTCTTCTATAATTTTGTCCTCCTCTTCTTTGGGTTTTTCAGGGGGTTTGGGGATTGTGATGCCCACTGGCTCCATTTTAGCCGGAGGCAATTTAGCGGCTTTGGCGACGGTGCTGGCCTGCTTGCCCTTCTTGCGCTTCTTCCCAGCCGTGGCTCCGTTGCATGTCTTTTTGGTGTCTTCGCCTGACGTATCTCCACCAGAGGTGCCCTTTGTGGCTTCAGGGTTGGAAGTAGTTTTTCCATTCTGAAATGAACAACAGAGGAATTTGGCGTTAGTTGATAGCACATTGTGTATTCATCATTTCAAAGCTTCAATTTTAAAAAGTTAAGTATTTCAAAAAAAGCATTAAAAAAGTAAAATGTTTTGATACAATGGTGATCACATACTGCAGGAGAAAGGCAAGAGGGTTGCAACTAGAAAAATATCAGAAGATTTTAAAAATGAAGAACCACAAAGTAATGCCCTCAAACCACAAGAAAGGAGAAAAAAGGTGAAAAGGTAGGCCCACAGTAGACAACCCC